CCGCTAAAATTTGTCCCTTTTTAATGCATTTACCCCGAGGAACCTGGAGTTTTTGATGCATACAAGTATTTTTATTGGAACGTTGATATATAACTAATGGAATGCTTAGAATATCTCCATTACCTGCTAAAAGAATCTTGTCAGTATTGGTATAAACGACCCTTCCCTCGCGTTCGGCTATAGCAAGAGCCCCCGAATCTAGAGCTGCTTGTCGTTCCAACCCAGTTCCAACAATGCATTTCTCGGAGCGAGAAAGAGGAACTGCTTGACGTTGCATATTAGAACTCATTAAAGCTCGATTCGCATCATTATGTTCGATAAAAGGAATGAGGGAAGCTCCAATAGAAAAATATTGAAAAGGAAAAATACTTCGAAGATGAACCTGTTCCCATGCAATAGTCAAGAATTCTTGACGGTATCGAGCTGGAACAACCTGTTCTTCCTGAATATCCCGATTTAAGGCTAAAGAATTTCCTGCCGCTACCATATAGTATTCATCTCTACCTGGTGATAAATAAAGCATCCGTACCCCGGTTGACCTCTCAGAAATTTCATAAAAAGGGCTTTCTAGAGATCCCCAATGACCAATCCTCGCATGAATTGCTAAGGATCCAATAAGTCCAACATTGATTCCCTCAGATGTGTCAATTGGGCAAATACGTCCATAGTGACTAGGATGGATATCTCGTATCCGAAAACTAGCAGTGCGCCCTGTCAGTCCTCCAGGGCCCAAATAGCTTAATTTTCTCCCATGAACTATTTGTGTCAATGGATTAGTTCGATCCAAAACTTGAGATAATGGGTGTAAACCGAAAAAGGATTCATAAGTAGTTGTTAATGGAGTTGAGGTTACCAAATTCTGAGGTGTCGGTATCAATTTATGCCGAATTGCTCCACATATAGTCCCCCGAACCACATTTTCTAAACGAACCAGAGCCAACCCGAATTGATCTTGTAAAAGATCTGCTACAGAACGAATACGTTTATTTTTCAAATGATTCATATCGTCAAGTGCACCCATTCCAAATTTCAGCCCAATCAAATGATCGGCGGCTGCCAATATATCTCGTGGTAACAAAAATGTATTGTTCTGGGGTANAATAAAAACAGGACCTTTGAATTCTCAGAAACCGGTTAAAAGGTTACCTCGATAGAATAATCAAAGGGCTTCGATAAATCAGCCCTCAAAAAACCTTAAGAGGTATCGAATTATTCAAATACAAACTTGTGCTAAGGCACTAAAAACAATAAGGGTTCCGATCGACACTAAACCCTCAAAAAACCCAATGGGTAAAAAATGCATGCCAAGGCATAAAGAAATTTTTACTAAGTCTCTAAAGCTGAAAAAGGGAAATAATAGCCATCTCTTAAAGGCCATATCAGCCCATCCTAAAAGAATCTAAGGGTCAAAACATTCAGAGTTCGAGACCTTGTTCTCACTCAACTCGGACCTGAGGGACCCACCATCCCGAGCTCGCATAAAATCGACTTAAGCATAGCTCGAGGATTCACCAAAAAACCTTAAGAGTTATTCTATTATAAGATTGCCCATCTATTACAAAAAAAAAACTAAGGGTTTGTCTTACTCTGAGTTCGAGACGGTGCTCACTCGATTATTGAAGTTATGACATCAAAAACTAATTCATCACAAAACGAAGACAAAGCAAACTTCACAGCAAATCGGAGACAGAGCGAAAAGGAAAGGAATTCTTTATATACATGAAAAATATTTACAATGCCCACATGGAGCCTTACACAAAACAAAAAAGAAAAAAATCCTAAAGGCCTAGTCCACTTTAGGGGTTGCATCTTCGGGAGCCACATCTTCGAGAACCTCCTCCTCAGGGACTCCATCCTCATCTCCTCCGCTCTCGGAATCACTAGCAGAGTCTTCATCATTGGAGAGTAAAGCGGCAGCCTCATCCTCTAAAGTTTTTGCCTTTTCGATATCAGTTGAGAGGTCAAAGCCACGAGCATACACTTCCTCGAGAGTCTCTCTCCTGGATTTTTGCCTGGTGTGTTCGACAGTGGATGACAATTTGACTTCAGCAGTAATAGAGATCTCCTGTGCCCGAATGTTGGCAGCCTCGACGTCAGCTCGATAAGAGGCCACAAATGCCTCCGCCTCAGATTTAGCCTTTGCAAGTTCGGCGGCTGACTTAGCTTCGAGCTCCTCAATCTTCCGACTCCAGGCCAAGCTTTACACCTTCACATTTTGAAGTTGACATTTGACCGAAACAAAATGGGCCCGAAGCGTGTCCTTCTCCGAAGCAAGATGATCCATATGTTGCGTCCACCCCAGGGTGGCCTCTTTCGCCTTGACCTCCTCTCGAAGCTGCTCCACCAGCTCGCCCTTCAGTTGGGCCTGCTAAGTCGAAGTATTAGTCGCTAAGTCAAATAAATACATAACAAACTCCCAAAAAGTTACATTACCTGCTCAATGAGCTCGGTCTGTTCTCGATGAGCCTTCATTAAGTCAGCTCGAAGGTCCCCGATCTCCTCCTCTTTTTGAGCGTATATGAGTTTGAGGCCGTCCTTCTCTTCCGCGAACATCTTGATTTTGGCCTCGCATCGGGCAAGCTCAACTTGAGACTTGGAGAACGCTTGTCGATGGAGCGTCACAGCCTTCCACAAAGGAAAAAAGTCAGACTCAGAAAAATGAGAATAAAGCACAAACACAATTATGGAGGCAGGAACTTACTTGTTTAAGAAGACGCTAAGCCTCGTCAAAAATAAACGAAGCATCCGGGTCGGGATCATCTTTGACCCTCGTAAAGCATTCCCGGAAAAATATCATTCCCTTCGTGGGTCATCCCCACGTCGGGAGTCTTCATGGCCCGGGCATGTCGAAACTGCCCTTCGGAGAACACAGGGCCAGGCGGCGATTCATCCAGGCTAATTATCCCAAGTGATTCACTTGGGACATTCTCTTCTCTTTGGAGGGCCTCGGAATTAGGCTCTTCAAGTTCACCCGCCAGATGTCTTCCAAGACGAGGTTCGCTTTTACCACCCGATGGCTCAGGGACTCTGCTCGAGCTCCCCGCTGAGATTTCTTCTGTTCGAGATTGAACCGCATCAGCCGCTTCCGGTTCAGTGGCCTTCGAAGCTTCAGTGCTCCCCCTCTTCCGAGCTACCAGCAAGCAGTCAGCATCCTCTCCTTCTTCCTCGTCATCCCGAAGGTGTTGGAACGCTTCTGCAGATAGGGCTGCAGGATCGGCCCTAGGCTTTCGAGCCTTATTTTTCTTGGGCTTCAGGGAAGTTGTTGGCGAAGCCCTTTTCCTTTTCTTCTCTTTGGTTGGCTTCGAGGTTTTCTCCTCACCAGGCGGTGGCGGCCTCATAACAACAGTGTCTCCGAGGCCTACGTAAGGGGAAAGTAAGTATTTTACAGAGAAGCATCAACATATGAACAAGGGAACTCACCATGATTTTTAGCTTCCCACCGACCCTTGGCCAAATCACGCAAACAGCGTTCTGCATGTGAAAAAGTGGAGGCCAGTTGTCGAACCCAACCTGCGAGATCCGGAATCGCACTAGGAAACCAAGGGGAAGCTGCACCATCAAAAAGGAATTAGATCGAAGAAGAATAATGAATGCAGAGTAGTAAGAATCATCGATGGGGTTGTACTAACGTTTCATGTTCCATTCCTCGAGGAATGGCATCCTTTCGGCAGGAATTAAGTCGGAGGCCTTGATTCGGATAAACCGGCCCATCCATCCCCGGTCCTTGTCCTCATCGATGCTAGAGAATAGCATCTTCATGGATCGATGCTGGAGCTTTATCAAACCACCTCGATAGAGGCGAGGGCTGTATAGTCTGATCAGGTGGTCGAGGGTAAAAGACATCCCCTTCACCTTGCCCGAAAATTACCTGAGCAAATTGACGATGCGCCAGAAAGAAGGGTAGATCTGGCCAAGTGTCACCTGATATTGGTGACAGAAATCGAGAATTACTGGATCTACAGGACCCAGTACTGGATCTACAGGATCCAGTGTGAAAGCATAAGTATACACGTTTATGTATCCTTACACATGAGTGGTGATATCCTCTTCGGGGGAAGGAATCACCACCTCCTTATCCTCCCAATTGCAATCCTTTTTTACCTGCTCAAGTTCGTCTTCAGTTATTGAGCAGATGTATCGGGACATGGGCTCGCATCTGCCTGGAAATAATGCAGGCTTATCGATTTTAAATCGGAAGATAGCTCGCACGGCCCAGGAATGCACTCCTCGATACGAGGTGGCACTGTCGTTCTACCACCGGCCGACCGCGATGATGAGGAGGCTTTCTCTTTCAGAGGAACGGTTTTAGATGTTTTAGCCATCGCTGTTGAGAAACTCAAAAGAAGAGAAGAAGTCGATGTTGCAACAAGTGCAAATTGAAGGAAGGATGAACTCAGAGAAGATGAAGAAGCTAGTAAGGATTTGGGAAAGGTTTGAGAAGTAAAGTTTGTAAAGTTTGTGAAATTGACCTATTTATAGTGGCCGCTTCAACGGTTTGAGGAAGCCAATGGCCGACCATTAGCCGCCTTCAATTAATGACCTTGGGAACTATGCAGATGCGACATTTCAATCACTTCTGTCGCTGACGTCACGGGATTGACTTCATGATCGACGAATCAGAGGATCGAGGATCAAATCGTTTCTTATCTTCTTACTCTAAGAAACGCGGGGACTATCTGTATACGATCGAAATCAGGTATGCCCAATTCCGTGGGCTCGAGGGTCACTTCGAGAACAAGTTCGAAATGGACCAGGCGCGAGCGCGATGGCGAAGTACAAAGATTCGAAGATCAGAGTGCTCGATGAACACTGGGGCCACGTGCGACCGATCTCGAGATAATACCGTTATGGTTTCATAATGGAAAGAGCGAGATTCCCGCAGTGTCCCTAAGATCACGGCGTAAATTCCGGAACGGATTTGTACTAGGCAGTTAGACAGCTGTATAATAAGATTCCTTACTACAATTGGAAGTGTACCTTATTTAAGATTCCCCTACTATATAAAGGGGACCCCAATCATTTGTAACGTATCAACCATTGAAAAGAGAATATACATATTTCACTTACTTGCTTACTGTTCATCTGACTTGCCTTATTATTTTATTGCTCCTATCCACCTACCTCGAGGTCACCATTGTTCGAGGTCGAGGTCAGCTTATACGTTGGTTTGACTTACTTTACTCTTTAATTTATACATTAGATTCCTTGTTTATCAATTAGTATTGAATTAAATCACGTATCTTTAAAACCACAATATAATTTTAATTTTTGCTCGGATTTTAGGGTAAACACTTGTGTTAAAATTTTCCTAGGTCCGCCTAATAGTATCCAAGTTAAAAGATAAATTGAACCATGCTTATCTGGACCCAATTTATGCGCCAAAGCAATGAGCAAGTGACATGTGTTTTCATTTAAAATTTCTCATTTAGTTTTGGTTTACTTAAATAGTCGCTTACCCAAGTACTTAAACTTAAAATTTTTATATATATATTTATATATATATATATATATATATATATATAATTGATGCTCTCCTGGTCTAGGGTCTAACTATCAATAAGAGTGTCTTTATCTTCATTCATCCTCGAATCCTTCTTCAACAACTTTCCTCTTTGACAGCGTAGCTTGTGCTCTCTCCAAAGAAAGAGGGGAGTACCAAAAGAAGCTCGAAGGTCCAATAGCTACTTCAGCTGACATTCCTCGAATAGCAAAATCCTGACAAAAAGAAGGATAAAAGTTAAAAGAGGGGAAAGAATTTACATACGGGAAATAATAAGGGACGCATACCGTGACGTTCAACCATGTTTGTTAGAAATAGATTTTCAGGTTGTGCCTCCATAGGCACGGCCTTCAAAATAGATCTACCAAACCACAGGAAATTAGGAACGGGTTTCCACATCTTCCCATGGTTGCTACAAAAAAGCAAAAAGAATGAAATTAGAAAAGGAGTTGAAATAAAACAAATACGGTAAGGAAGAAATACTTACGTGCAAGGTTCCATTTCTCAGGAAAAGGAATATTTTGCATTCAACCCACCAAATCAACCGTGGGTACCGCACATAACGGGTGTTACGTAGCCTCGAATCTTTATCATCTTCAGGGCTTACCAAAGCCCTTTTACTTTTGCAGTTAGGGTAAAAACACCATTGCGGAACAGCTTGGTGGTAAGATGAATAGATGAGAGAAGGTAAATCTACATCAGCCTTTACCGATACATACCTTAAACAAGTACTGCTCTCCATACGAGGAGGGCCAACTTGAGCCAAACAAATTTTGAAAAACGACAAAAATCGAGTATGACTGAGTCGATAGCATAGGAATAAATCCAAAGTAAAGGAATAAGTAGTAAACAGAGGAAAAAACCAATCCTAATAAGAAGATATTCTCTGGTTTGGCGTTAGGAAACTATTATGAAGGTCATCTCTCCAACGGACAATCTTTTATCGAACAGTGACAAATTAAGGGTTCAGTAATTAAAGAAGGATGAGGTGTTCAGCTCTCTCTAACTTATTACTTGGTCACGAAGGGATTCTTTATCATGCTCGAAAGATAAGTCGGTTGGCACTATTTCTTCGACTAAAGGTTCTTGAATACACTCAGAAGATTCTTTGCTTTAGAAGAAGATCTATTAGTGAAGAACCTCTAGAAATAGTGCAGAGCTAGAAGAAGAGTGATTGGAACCAGAGGTACCACCACGAATGGATCCTAGGCCACCGAAGCCTACCTCCTCTACCTCTTCTGTATGTTCACAGGGCATGGGAAACTGTCAAGAATTTGGGACTCTCACTAGGGTTGGGATTTGAAGATTGAACATGGTAGAAAGATGTGAACAGAGAGAAAGATGATAGGAGTAAATAGTGAAATATTAGGTAAAAATTTGTGGAAGAAGGGTTAAGTTTATATATAAAAGCGACCGTCAAACGACTAAGAAGTGAATGATGGAAAGCCTATAATAAAGGCAACTATTCACTTCGTGAATAGTGGAGTTGAAGAAGCCTTGAAAAAAGGCTGCAGAATTGCAGAGCTAATGAGGAAGGTGACACGTATGCAATGCCATTAAATAGAAAAGACAACTGAAGCGTTAGTACTGTTCATAGCATTGATTATCGACAAAAATCCCTTTTAATGAAGATCCACTTCCCAAATTTTAATTGATAATAAATGGAAAGTGGGGGACTATCTGTATTGGGAAAAAAACTGAATTAAATATTGAAGTGACGTGTCATGACACGTGGACCGGTCAAATAGTCAAAGCATGGTATTAGTTAGAAGGCACGAGCAAATAATAGATGCGGGAGAGAAGATACTTAAAGCCACGAGCTATTATTCGAGATAAACGAGACACGTACCTGTTCGAGTTCATTTAAAGCTCGAAGTCCAGAACGGAATTGACGAATTTTGAATCTAAATAGCGTAAAAGAGTCCAAATTCAACATTAAATGCCAAAATACGTTAGGAGAATTGTATTTAATAAGAATGATTGGAGTAACGTTCTTTTAATGTCATTTATTGCTCGTAATTGCCTCATTAAGACAAAAGGCATATACACTTTCTCTTAAATTAACTATAATAAGAGGAACGTCACAACATCTGTAGGGACACGAAATATCATTGCGATTATACTGAAATATATACTTATTCATGGCTTTATTGTTGTGCTCAAAGTCTCTTCATTTCTTGATTATCAGTAACCCGATTTTCTCTTAATTCTAGCTTTAATCAAATATTCAATTTTTTGGTTAAACATAAATTGGAATGTCTTGAAAATCCAAAGAAGAGTGATATCCATTCTGAAGACAGTTGTATATTTATTTTTTCCTAAACCACCTTTTTTCAGATTCTCATATTCACACAAGGCAGTCCTCCATACTCTTAAGTCCAGATCATTAATATAACTTCATTAGGAAAATGGTTATCTGAGAATTTGCAACGTTATTTTTTTGTACAAGGGTGATTTGCGATGGTTTATTAGTAATTAGTTTCTACAAAATTGTTAAAGAATTACTTAATGTATTCTTTAATTTCTTTGTTAGAGTTGATTGAAAAACCGTGTTTGCTAAGGAATTTTGTCTTACACTGTTGAGAGTAAGCATAACTACCGCCTTAGCTGATACTTCAACATCTCCTTCGAAAACTTATTAACCCAAAATTAATGCTCACAAGACTTGAATATATATTTGGATAGTGTGATAGGTCAGCCTTTTAAACCTTTGGCAGGCAAAGAAATTTTCAAGTCTTTTTGCAATGGCAAAATAAAATACACAAAAAAAATTCTAATGTCGTGAAAATAGTCAGCCTTTAATTTTTAACCCCTTTTTGTTTCCTAATTACTGAAGTAATATAAAGAACTACTAATAAAGCAATAAAGCATATGCACTCTGGGGCATAAATATGATTGGCAAAATAATAAGAGTGATCGGTCGGGTCGAAATATTGTATTAGCTGGCCAAAAATATAAAATATGTATATTAATATATACATATATATACAAATGTATATATTTTGTCGATATTTTTTTGGGAGCGATTAAAAATAGTACATTTCTCAAATATTAAAAAAATAATAAAACATAAGAAGAGTATACTTACAGTGAGATAACAATACTTTACACCAATTCTTTCAAAACTAATCCCAAACCAAATTTACAAGGGTTAATTCTTTATTTAGGGTTGCCTGGTATTTGGAATAAGGGATAATAATCATGGGATTAGATGCATGATTATTTTATCCCGCATTTGATTGAATTTTTAAATCCGACATTAGCAATCCCAGGATTAACTAAGCTCACAATTGGGCATTATTCTATCTCACATTGAAGGTGAGATAATAATCTCAGAATTAATAATACCGGAATAAACACTAAATAACAAAGATGCTCTTAGCTCTTCCCCAAAATTTCTTTTAAACAATGCAAGGATAAAATTGGAAAAAATAATAATTTATCCCAACTTATTTAATATACACCAATCACATGTCTAATTATACGCCGTATATCTTATTTTTTATCCAATAAACAAGTATCTTTCCAATAAATATATATTTACTAAATAATTTCGTCATTATTAATCTTCATATTATAATCTCATCATTATAATTTCGGAATTACTTGTTCCACCAAATGACCCTTAAGGTTATAAAAACAGCTCAAGTTATGAAGTTGATTATCAATTGAAGCTCATTGTCCAGAAAATTATATTGGTGGACCTTTTTAGGACCAAAGTTTAAATTTGACCTTGATAAAAAAAGAAAAAAAATACTACCGGTTATTTAGCAATCGCTAAAAATTCTGACGATTTTCATGATTTTATAACAAGTTCTGGTG